TCTGGGATTAAGGTGCGCACCACCACGCCCAGTCTCAAATTTGTTTATTTATTTTTATGTATTTAGCATGTGGCAGTCCTAGCAAAGCATTTACCTTGCCTTGCACTCCTGCCCAAGTCAGGCTTCAGTCCCAGCTGGCTCCTGTCTGGAGCCACAGAGGACAGCGCTGTCTGCTGAGCGCTGCTCCCACATGCAGAACACTCCTGCAAAAAGCTGTGCGGAAGCCTTCTGTGGGTCGGATGTCTTCGGTGTTTCATTGCCCGAGTGTCCTGTCATTTACTCCTCTCTAGAAAGGACAGGGAGCTGTGTGGGCTCTGACCCGTGAGGATCTGCGCTGGGGCAGCTTCCATGATGGCACGCAGCACCCCAGGGTCTCGGCGCAGCACCCCAGGGTCTCACCGCAGCACCCCAGGGTCTCGGCGCAGCACCCCAGGGTCTCGCCGCAGCACCCCAGGGTCTCACACAGCTCCCGCTGTCTATGATGAAGCACTTTTGCTTCGTCTTTGAAAGCCGCTGAGCTGAGCCTGGCCACCCAGAACTCACGTGGCCACAGGCCCAAGCGCTCTTCGGCTGGGCTGGGGAGCTCAACTCCAGTTATGGCTGCTGCCATAACCAGGACCGGTCCTAAGGTCGTAGGATGGCTACTTAAGCTTCCTAAAATTATGTGTTCTTATTTATAAAATGGAAAAAAGAAGCTCACATCATAGAGGAACAGGAAGGTTCAGAGGCAACAATGTGTGCCTAAATCCCAGAACAAATTCTGGCAGATGGCAATGGCAGTGGCTAAGAAGACGGCCCACAGAGCGCAAGAAGACGGCTCAGAGAACAGGAATAGCCACGAAATTACACTGCTACTGCGTGGTTGCACAAGCAGTGGAAGCCACTTGCCTCCCTGCACGCTGCACTCCTCGTCAATACAATGAAGAGTGCCTACTTACGCACCGCTTCAAGAACCAACGACTCCATAACACAGAGGCCTGTGATAGGGTTCGTCGCGGCATAACGCTAAGGGCTCGACACCACACAGCAGAAGTGGCTCCTGCTCCTGCCGTGCACCCGCATCTGGGCTCGCTGCGGCTGTCACGTGCTCCCTCCTAAGCGCTGAAGGCGTAAGGCGGGGGACGCTCCGCTGCTCTGAGCACCACAACCTGCTGAACTTGGTCTTTGTGTGTAAGTCTTCTCGCCTATGCATTTCCACAGGAGGAGAAAGCCACCTTCCACGTGGATGAATACGCCCAAGGGAACAGTTACAACCAGGTTTTGGAGAAGAAACGAAACGACTCCCTCTCAATGTAAGAGTAATAAGAAATGGAGAAAGACTGCGGCCGAGGGGAACTGAAGGAGGAAGCTGCGGTGACCTGAGCCGGCCCTCGAAGGGGAGCTACGATTCCTGGTCTCAGAAAAGGACAGAATTCCATTAACACAACTCCTACAATTTGTATTTACACAAATTCTTCAGAATTTTGTTAACAGAATTAAAGAAGCTTCATCCAAGCAAGAAAGGATGTCATACATTCAAATCCTAAATCATTCTAAAAGGTGTACTGACTGAGCCAAACCTACCATTAGAATAAGGGAAAAGCTAAGTGCAGACAAGGAGAATGACGAGGGTGTGGACAGACAAGCGTTCCCAGGACTGTCTGACCAGTGTTCATGGGCAGTGGCCTCCATGACAGCCACAGCAGTGCCGGTGGCTGCAGCCTCGGAGTGACCCAGGGCCAGGCTGCAGCACAGCACACTCCAAGGCAGCCGCCGACGGGAGCACATTCCCGCTCAGTCAGTTGGTGCCTGCTGAGCCCTCCACGGGCCACCAAGAGAGCAGACAGTGCCACTCAGTCTCCATGGAGTGGGCCCTGAGGAGGGCTGCAGAAGGAACCATTTCACAGACTGCTAAGCCCTGCTGTGAGGGAGATCAGCCCAAGACATCCTGTAGTTCAGGCGACCAGACCAGGGCCAAGAGAGGGTTGAGCCTGGGGGTCAGAAGATACCAAAACGTCCCAAGAGGTGACAGCAGGGGTGGGCAAGGACCCTGAGGCAGGAGCAGCTGGAGGCTAGAGGGGCAGGGCAGAGTTGTCGTGTCTACACAGCAGCTGTGGCGAGGGGCAGGGAGACCCAGGGAGAGTGGCAGCAGGTCCGCAGGCTCAGTGCTCACTGGCTGCAAGGAGGAGCTGGTGGTGTTCACTGCACGACCCTCGGGCGTTTAGCAAGTTAATCAGAGACAAGAAATGATCTGATTCAATTTGGCTGTAGAGAGAAATGTGCTCACGTCTGCACACCACGTGAAGGGAACATCACAGGGGGAGGGGCTGCAGGAGAAAGGCGAGTGGCTGGCAAGAGAGACAATGAGGGGACATCAAGACTTGCAGCCTGCTGCTGCTCCTCCCTGAATCACCCCGTACAGAGCAACTCAAAACTAATGGTGTGAAAAGGCTCTGGAGCTGGTGGCTGGAGACCTGCTCTGCTCAACACGGGCTCTGACTGCGAGGCCGGGAGGTCCCCACAGGGCTGCTGCTGCAGCACCGGGTGAGTGACTCGGCCACACTCGGCGCTAGGCCGCGCTCACTCGCAGCCGCAGCCGGCACTGAGTAGGTGGAAGCCTGTAAGGACTGTTAGTATCAAAATTACTCTCATTAGAGGAAAGTTATTCATGAATTTTTTTTTTTTTTTTTTTTTTTTGCAAAACCAGAGATTGACTCAGGCCCTTGTGCTTGCCAGGGAAGTGCTTATTCTACTGAGCCATCTCCCTGGCCCTTCAATCATTACTTTAAAGCTCTTTTTTATTTTCAAACTGTAAGACTTTGATAACACATATGTCTTCTCTTTGGGAAAAAATGCATCCGTGTGTACATACATACACACATGTATGTGCCTACATATACAGTTACACACAAACACACAAAATGTGTGCACGACTCCGCAGTTCCTCTGAGAGCCTGACAAAATCCTTGATGTTAGGTCACCATCGGGGGGCTCCACTCAGGAAGTTATGCTCAGAGAGAAGAGAGATAGAAAGCATAAAACTGGTTTAAATACAAACTTGTTGATTGGTGGATAAACCATAACTTGTAGAGGAAGTGGCCACACACACACACACACACACACACACACACAGAGCACAGTAACAGCAGCAGCAGCAGCAGCAGCAGCAGCACTGTCACAAACACCAGCTTTGAGAACCAGGTATGCTCCCACGTGGACCAGAGCTATGACAAAGGACACTGGCCAGGGCTGGCAAAAGTGAAATGTCCTGTCGCCCTTGAGTTCAGTGGGGTCACTCGCCAGCATTGTGGCCCCTATATTTCTAAAAATGAGCTAAAAGCATAATATTTGCAGCCATTATTCAATTGAACTCTAAGACACTGTGGCTCAAGGAACCCAGAGAATTAGGCAACATCTTTGCTGCTGGGTCTGTCCTCGGGGCAGCCATGTGTCTTTGTGTATCTGCAATTCCTCCACCAAATGAAAGCAGACAGACGTGCAAGTGCCAGGCATTAGGCGGACAGCAGGACTCTGACTCAGCAATGAACTGTATGAGGATTAAACTGGTAAGAAAGCAGGCTGCTTGGCAGCTGCAATGGTCAGGCCTTAGGCAAGGCTGTGGCACAGGCACTGAAAACGTAACATGGCTCTGCGCGTGGGGCTGGCTTCGGGGTGGCGCACGCACATGCTGGCCTCCGCAGGCCCTTTCTTCACAGGAAACCCTACTCGGAGCACTGACAAGCTTCTTAGATGGAAGGAAGGTGCTGTTGTCACTCGAGTAAGAACACACCCACTGCTTGGCGTGGTGCTCTCTATCGGGAGTCTGAGTGCTTCAGAGGACAGGTGAAAAACTACAGATTTGGGGGCTTCAAAAGCCTCTGACAAACTGACCGTAAAATGGAACAAAGTGAAGTTGAGGTTAGTTAGCATGACTTCATAAATAGTTGATGGGTAATGATTGCATGCATTTATGGGGTTCAACGGGATGGACAAAACACTACTTGACTTCACTGATTGGTGGGATCTGAAAATGAACTCAGACACAGGGCAGAGAACCGTGGTCCCAGAGGCTGCCGAGGCTGGGATGCAAGGTCCCATGCGGAGAGCAGAGGTCCCGGGGAGCAGTAGTTCAGTGATTACAGTAAGGGCAGCTGGACATACTTTACTGGGAAACTGCCAAGGCAGTAAACGGGCAGCATTCTCACTCCAAAAAATCACTTCATCACCCAGTCATGGATGAAAGGCTTCAAAATCCCCCCAGCGAAAACATACGCACACAAGAAAAGGAGGCACCTTGGAGTGCAGTCACCCCGCCCGCATACCTCTTCATGGACCTGGGGGAGAGCTCTCTGTCCACCTCCTTCCCGGGCACGCTGTAGGGGCCCATGCTGTACTCGCTGTCGTCGTCATACTCGTGGTCCAGCAGAGTCCTCGCCCACGTGCCCATGTCGTAGGGGGGCAGCATCCCTCCGAACTCCGAGGGCAGGATCTCAGGGTGGATCAGCTGGTGCAGGCTGTTCAGGTTGTTGCCGTGTAAGAATATCTAGAGTGCAAGGGGAGGGTGAAGACAGAGGGAGGAGGCTGAGTAGCACCCAGATGCCCCGGGCAGCAGGGAGGAGGAGGGGACCGGCACGAAGGGGCTCCACGCCTCCTGCGGAGGCCTCTCGTGGACCCTGTGAAGCAGGCAGGCCTGGTGGTCTTGCACTAACATTTCATATAAAAGCCCTGACGTACAAAACAGCTCAGCCGTTTCAGCAAGGTCAGACAGGCACTGCACTAAAGAGGTGGAGGCATAAACCTGTTTCTCTGCTTCCCGGTCACAGGCTCAAGCCGGCTCCGCCATGCACACAGCTCTGCACTGGACCAGCATGAGCTGGGGAGCGCGGGATGAGGGTGCTGCTACAGACCTGGCCACAGGGCGCTTGTCAGTCCAGAGCCTGCCAAGTTGCTAAGCCACAAGCTCTCCTCAGGACTGCTTTCTCTTTGTCACCAATAAAAATAAGGACACTGTAGCCACTAAATTATGACTTCAAAATGCAAAGCAGGTGATGTAAATAAATGAAGGAAATGAGTGTCATCACAGGAAAAGCTCAATGCGGTTGAAGGCCCAAAGGGCAGGCGTTCCGTAAGGTCGCCCGCTTCCCTGCTACTTGCATACCTAACTGTCCACGTGGAAAGCAGACGGAAGCATCAGCAATGTGACACTGCGTGTGAACGCCGACTGTTGCTGCGGCTGTCTATATCGATCTTTTGTATTGACCTAACTATTTGCTCAGGACCCCTACTCAAGATGTGTCTATCCAGCAATCGCGAGCCCTTTTCTCTTTTTTCATTTCAAACTTAAAACTGCAGATGAGCCTTCTCTGATACGTCATGATGTCATCTCATACACACTTATGAGCTATTTACTGCAAACACATCAGTTCTAACCGGGCAGCCTCGAGGTGCACAGCTGGCACGCTGGGTTTGCTCTCCGCACAGCAGAATCCACAGACTCCAATACGCGGGAAGGGAAGAGAGCTGAGCTGGCACCAACCACGATGCGAGGGAGGCAGTCGCTGGTTAACAAACCAGGAACCACGGGAACGTGAAAGCAGGGACCCGCAGCTCCTGCCCTAAGGCCGGAGCAGCGAAGGGGCCAGCGGGCTGCAGGGCCCCGGAGGCGGGAGGTGCCCCATGGTGCACACAGGGGACCGCAAGCCTCACGCCTGCCCACGCTGCCCGGGGCACACACGGCAGGGCTTCCTCCTCAAAAAACACACACCCATGCACACACTTCAGTTCTTCTCATCACGCACACACACAACATACACTCCTCAGTTCTCGTCACACACTCTTCTAGATTCTTATCTATCACACGCTCCTAGATTCTTCTCATGCCTCTCACGGACACACATGCGCACATGTGCATATACACACGCACACATGTACACACACAATACACACACTCCTCAATTCTCATCACACATACTTTTCTAGATTCTTACATCACACTCCCACATTCTTCTCATCTCTGCCACACACACACACACACACACACACACACACACACACACTCCTCGATTCTTCTCATCAGTAGAAACCTTCCTGGGAAGGTTAAACGCTGGCCCTGGAAGCCCTTGCCCTGCTAAGCAGTTAAGTTTCTCTCGCAGATCACAAAGGAAGTGAGGCTGGGGCCCAGGCGCCACAGCGGCCACCTGCTCTGGCTGCAGCACGGCACACCACCACCTCCTCTCCCAGGCCTCATTCTGCTCCCAGCTTTCCTAAATCTAATGCCCACATTCTCTGCCTCCCGCCCCTGCCAGAGAGCAGCTTCTGCCACGCTTCTCATCACTACCTCAGAGTGGGGCTCTCACTCAGCATTACCTCGATCTCTCTGCTGCCATGGACAGTGGGGACGACCGCCTGCGTGGAAATGCCCCTTCTAGTGCCATCTGGTCAGAGCAGGTCACCCTTCCAGCAGCACCCTCCACCACTTCTCTTCGCAGGGGATCCGAAGGCCCAGACTCCGCAGGGCACAGGGAGCTGTCTGCGGTCAGGCTCACCCGGCTCTGCGCTCCTAGCCCCCGGCCTTCCAGGGCCACTGTGCTCTCTGCCGTCTGTCAGTGGCGCAGAGTGCACCTGCCCAGGCCCCTTCTGACCCTCTTTCCCCATTCAGCCTCCACACAGCCAGCCCTGCCGCTTACTGTGATTCAGAGCAAACTGCTCAACCTTCTGTGCCGAATTTCCCTCCTATGAAATGAGTGCTAACCCGGGAGCCAGTGGGAGGAACCGCAGAGCACTGAGCACAGCGTGACACGGAGCAGCAGGGCGCGTGTGTCCCCAGGATGCTCTGGACCCAGAGCCCCGGCAGGTATGCTGGACAACCGCAGTCACCTTGGGGATGCAAAGTGTCAACAAAATGCTTCCACTTTCTGAATTCTAAATCATGAATATTTCGATTTCTAGGTACTAGCAGCAATTTTTAATATACATTTTAATTATTTAGGGAATTTCTCCTACACTACTGAGACTAGCAAACTTCACACACCGTAAACAAGCACACTAACATTAGATACAAAAATGACAACTGCCCTCTGAGGCCTCTGAACATAGAGGCACAGTCTCAGTCACTGAGAAACAGGGAGACTATCACCAGGCCACTGCAGTACACCTCCCGAAATAACACCCACTGCTCAGCAAATGATACTAAAACTTTGCTAGACCCTACGAGAAATTATTTGCACTAATAATAACATATTAATATGGCACCATTTCTTTTGCCTTTATACTTTAGCTTTCTTATATAATAAATACGCTAAATTGTCCTTTTTTGTTTTTTGTTTTTAAATATTCCATGCAAATGGTAAGGGAGATAGCTCAGTCATCTAAGCATTTGCCTGGCAAGTGAAGAACCTGGGTTCAATCCCAGAACCACGTGCCATGCAAGCCCCAAAACCCCAGGCACACATTGCTGGCCACCGAAACCAGGCCTGGTGGCATATGCCTATAATCCCAGCGCTGAGGAGGCTGAGACGAGAGGATCACTATGAGTCCCAGCTGCATAGTGAGACCCTGCACCAAACAAATAAATAAATATTTTTTTTTTAATCAGAAGGCCTCTAATAATTTTTAAATGCCTTTGATGGTAAATACTTATGTGGCTACACAAATGCACCTTTTACCAGGGCCAACACTATACACACAATATGCATCATAAGTCACTGAATGCAAAGCAGAGGGATTTATACACAAACGCACATACCCTTTTTCGAGTCTTCTCCTTCAGGAAGGGCCGGATCACAGTGTACAGGGCGTGGATGTACCAGGGCTGGTTGACAAAGTGAATTCCTCCAAATCGTGCTGGGAAGCTGTCCTAGGGCCACACAAGGGAGCACAAGTCAAGAGCTGCCGTGACACCCGAGGGGCTGCTGGGAAGCCCGAGCGCAGGCGCAGCTGCAGTCCTCAGACCACATGAGTTAGCACCCGCGCAGCGAAGGGCAAGAAGAGAGGCGTCCCAGCGCTGCAGCGTGCGCGAGAACCAAGTCCTCCGCGAGAGCGGACTGCTCTGCTGGCCGGCGAGTAACGGCAGCATGGTACATGTTTTACTAAAATTACGCATATTTCTGATAAAATTTAAATGAAAATGTTTTATTAAATATAAATGTAGTCATGTATAAAACATGATTGCCCCCAGATATCAAAATTATTTATAAACTTAATTGAGCTTTATTTCAACTATAAAAAAAGAATTCATGCTTAAGCAAAATGGTAGCCTACAGCTATAGTACAGGAAGTTTGAGGTCACATGTCCTCAGTTAAAGCCGAACCCTTGGAGGCGCACCCCACAGGTGGAGCCCCTCTAAGGCCGACCGCCCCAGCACGAAGCTGCTCCTGCTCCTGGGGAGCCCTTGAGCCCACGAGGTGCACGCTGGGCCTGCCCTGACCTGGAGGGAACCCTTAGACACATGGATTTGCATTTCACTTAGAACATCAACAGGAACAATTGAAAGCTAAAGGTGAATGCCAAGGAACTGGAGGTATGTTTCTTTTTAATTTAAATTTTCTCTTGAATCAAAATTCTCCTTTTTAATTTAAATTTTCTCTTTGAATCAAAATCACATGCATGACCTAACTCTACTGCAAGCTGTACTGGCAACGGGATCAGGACCCGCCTAGCGGAGGAAAGCCCACTTCTGCGTGAGTCTGGGGGGTGGTTCCGGAAATGATTGGCAGGCAGGCCAGCCAACTGAAAGAGAAGAGCCTCCCTGAGCCTGGGGCACCATCCTGCAGGCCTGTAGCGCAGGCAGAGGGCCACCGAGGAGGAGGTCGCTGGTGCGTGGACAAGCTGCCCTCTGCTTCTGTGAGTGTCGCTAGACATTTCCTGTGGACATCAGACTCCAACTTCTTCAGTCTTTCAACACGGACTCACACCGGGACTCTCGAGGCAGCTTCCAGGCCTGAGGCTCAGACCGCAGCTGCGTCCTCGGCCCTGCTCTGCGGCCTCCAGCCCCACGCTGAGCCGCTGCTGGGCCTCCACGGGGGCTGACCCTGGGGCGCAGCTGCAACGCCCCTGCCATCTATTACACGGGCCTTCCTGCCGGTCCTGTCCTTCTAGAAACCCTAACCTCCACACGCGTTAAAATACCGTTTTTATTCCTTATACTTTAGAGACTGATTAACATTATTTTCTAAAGATATTTTTTTCTCTAAACGAAGTCAATTACAATAGCTAGCGTAAAACACATCTCCTTTGATGGCAGTCTCATTTTTATGAACATGTACTTTTCATGCAGCAGATTACAAAATTACAACTGAGTCATATGCAAATTCAAATATAGAATTTTAAGGTTTAAAATTTTTATACTTAAAAAAAGTTGTAGACACATAAGCATGGGAACGCTGAAACAAACACAGAAGTGACCTCTGCTTGGACTAAGGACGCGCGCCTGCTCGCTAACGCTGAGGCTGACAGCTGCTTACATACACACCTGTTTTCATATTTTAGAATCTAATATTAGCCTTCCTCGGTTTATATTTTCTGACAGATATCATAAAGAAGTATGTAAATATTTTATGTATGTTATATTTTAAATGCTGCACTTATATTTTATATTTTACTGCATGTATATGTGCACCTTTTGCATATACTAGCAATTTTAAATAGTGTTTATGAAGACATCACTGTGGTGGACGTGGTCTTCCGCTGTCCTGGAGCAGTCCCTGAGGGACCCTGCGGCAGGCTGTGTGTTGTGTGGGGCTGGACAGCACTGTCCACGTCTACCGCCGTAGAGCTCACTATAATTAGTTTTCTCCCATATGCAAGCTATTGTTCAGGTCCTTTTTGATTTGGGTCTGGTCTTAGTTACAGTGTTTTGGGTTTTTACCACGACCAGTATGTCCGGTGCATGCAGGGTAGTTTCCTCGCAGTGCTACTAGGGCACCGAGACTGCATGTGCACGAGCTGGCAGAACAGCAGGCGCAGGCCCAGCGACGCGGCCCTCCCTCCCCAGCGGTGCCGGGCAGTCATCGCTAGCCCGCACACCACACCTGCTCCGGTCTAGCCGTCCAGTGCGTGCCCGCTTGGCCAGCACCCACCCAGCATCGAGTCGGCTCTCATTTGCTAGAATCGTGGTTTTTTGCTCATCTTGATTTTGCCATTGTTTTATTTCATCAACAATAACATTGTTTAATAACAAGTACTTTGAACACAGGTACTCTATTTCTGAGCCTTGTCTGAAGTTACTGTTCACGGTCTCCATCTCTCCATGGTATTTTATTTATGGTGAACTCAGATTGTGCTCATGTTACTTATCAGGAATCCCAAAAGTCTGGCTTGAGGATGCTTTCTCCTTCCAAGAGCCATTTCCCTGCCTACCAAATAGGTGGCCCTGGGGACCGGAGGTGGCTCTAATAAACCCCCTTGCTACCCATGACCCCAGTATATATTCCAATCTCACATGTTTAATTTCTGAGTAATAATTCTATTATTCAAATATAGTTATAAGATGAAAATAACCAGGGAAGACTATTACTGTTGTCATTAGTGACACTGATACTTTCTTTCGCCAGCTGTTTAACGGACTAAGCGCCCAGCTTCCTGGCCAGCAGCTGCTGCCTCCCTCCACCTTTTCCCAAGCACCTACAGGAATACATCCAGTCCGCAGTTTGTCCTTGACATATTTGGGTCCTGGACCTGCTCCTGGGACCCCCGCAAGCAGCCCTGAGCCTCCAAGGCCTAGGTCCCTGCTGTGCCTATGTATGTGTGTGTTGGGCCACTCTGCTTGAGGTCCTCAGAATTCCGTGCTATGTAGAAGTATTTTTTCATGCTGTACCCAGCTGCTCACAGCTTCGTGGCCTAGAGCTATAAGAACTTTCAACTTGATGCACTACTTAAAGCAGAACTAGTTTATATGCTTCTAAAGTACACTCTTTTTCCTTTGTACTTTTTCCTAATATATGTCTATTTGATACACAAAGTGGGTAGGCACACATATTCCACTTGATCCTCGGCGGTCCCCTGCTGCTCCTGGCCCTCCCATCTGGCCCATCCCCAGATATACCCTGTAGGTGCACCTGATCTCTAGGACAAAGTGAGTGAGCACCAGCTGTCAGAGCTGCGAAGCCAAGAGTCTTGGAGATTGCTGAACTGAGACGCAGAGGCGGCCACACTGGTCCTCCCCAGAAAAATCCACATGTACCTGCAGGATCGCTCGGACAGGATGCCGGCTCCTGGGATTCACCTTCCTACACCCGTGGCTTTTGTATACCAAAACACAGCTGAGGCAGTGGGAAAGAGCAGAATGAGAGCCAACTCTGATTCTGACTGCTCTCATTTCAAACCATGCTTCAGACCTTGCAGTTGCTTCCTGCCAGACCCCTGTGCAACTTCACCCTCATCAGCAGCCACTGTGATGAAAGAAAAGCCCTAGCCCAGCAACTCTGCACCCCTGCGCAGCTAATGAATGCTGGTCTTCCTCAGTCCAGTGCAGCCCTTTCTCTCTAAGCTTCTTCCAAACCCTCAGGTCTAACTCAGACACCCCATTCCTACAAAGTTCTTTGGTCACCTTCTTCCACTTCCTACTTCCGGTCTCTGCTACCACCCGCACAGTCCCAAGGCCACCGCCACACCTGCTGCAGGGCCCTGAGGCATCTCCTTATTTGCAAGGCTGCACCGCAGGCTCTGTGTATGCAGAGCTGCATGCTCCACACCACCTGTGGATGCTGAGCCTGGAATCCAGGCCACTCAAGTCACACCTCAGCGCAAGGGCAGGGGTGCGAGGTCATGTGTGTGTGTTCTGCAACTGGAAATCTGAGTGGAGGAACTGCACCAAGGATGTGCACCTACCCGAGGCTGAAAGGACCCAGAGGAGCAGCTGCCACCTCCCTGCTGTAGACAGTAGCTCCAGGCAGCTCTATGAGGGCAGTGTGTGCAGCGGGCTAGACACCCCTGCCGACTGCTGGGTGCCACGTAATGGGGGCTGTCTCAGGGACAGCAGCAGCAAAGGTGGACACAGCAGTTTCTGACCTACACTTACAGGACAGAGCCCCAAAGCCAGGAGCTCTGGTGGGCCCAGGTCTTCCACTGAGGTGTGAAGCATGTGGTCCCCATGACACCTCTGCTTTTTATTCAAACCATCCCGAGAAATGTGTGCTTTGTGCACTGAAGTGAGCCAGACTGTGTCTGATTAATCTCTCTGTTCTCAGTATCTTGAAAGTGTGTGCGCATGTGCACACACACGTTGTCCCAGAGCACAGCTTGGAAAATTCCACTACATGGAACGAATTTTGACGCTTGCTGTTTGGGTAAGTTACTTATCTTCTTGCGCCACAATGCCCCTATCTGTGGGAATAACACGTGATAAGAATGTCACTAGTTGGCGATGTATGACATGGAGCACTCCACCTGCCTTCATACAGGACTGCCATCCTCGTGTCCACCCTGCATGGCAAGTGTGGAAATGACCATGGCAGTGATTAAATAATGTGGTTTCGTGGGCAGTGATTTGGCTCTAAACAGCACACCTCACGTAAGACGCTAACCACTGCCAGCCGGCTGCACTGCTCCCGGTAGACAGCGCGACGCAGAAGGCGCCCACAGGCAATGAGAGCCAGCAGGGCAGGACAGAGAAGGCCACCCGGGCCCCTGCCCTGCAAGAGCTGGCTGGTTCGCCAGGTCCACGCATCTTTCTCCTTGTGCAGAGCGCAGACCGTCCTGCCCAAGTGACTCGGTGGCTACAGGGCTGGCCCACCACAGCACCAGCAACATTCCTCTCCTGTCCCAGCCTCTCTGGACAGCTCTCACACCTCCAGCATGAAGCACAAAAGCTTCTCCAAGGAGGCAGAGCGTGACACTCACAGGGGTGGGCTGGCATG